AAAAACGGTTAGGAGGCTTGGTTGCCGAAAGACAAAAAAAAAAAAAAAAGAAACTTCTGCGTGGGCCATCGAATGCATAGACTTTGGCAGTTCTCTTTCGCAACTAGGGTTCTTCTTCAGCTAACCAGTACCAGAAAATGACGGTGGACACGATGGTCACAAACTATGCGAAACGGAAACAAAAAGGGACTCATCAGAGAGAGTTTCGGATTTTGGCTGTGGCGGCTTGACCAAGCTTTGCCCGCGGTTTCCAGCTCACCTATCGCCCTTTTTTCCTCCGATATAGCTACAGGGAGGCTCGGGATTGAATTTTGAGCAGGAAGGAAAATATTTTACCTTTCTCAGCTGTCAGCGTGGCTCCGGTGCGGCGACAGCAGCGTCCCTCCGGCGGCTGGTCTTCCCTTAGGCCACCTCCTTCTTCTTCTTCTCTAACTGGGTGTCGGCTAGGGTTTGGGGCCGACTGAAGAGAGATTTAAATACCTTTCTTCCCTCTTATCCGGGCTATCCATCCGCGTTGACGTGGAACGAGGATAGTCATCCGATCATTGTCTGTTTAGGTCGATTGCATAAGCGAATTTGGACCGTTCATCGCAATTAATATCGTCCGTTCAATCGTATATAAAGAGGGAATGCATTTGAGCCATTCATGCTCACGGAATGCGATCTGGACCGTCGAATCGCCCAAGCACGTGGATTGCCCGCGTGGCCTCCCGTGTCAGCGTCTCTACCACGCGGCGTTTCTTAGTTTGCCATGATTGCTGACGTGACCGTTCCACGTGGCCCTATTTTTTCTTTTTACAATTTCACCACCTATTTTCAAATTATCTTTCACAAACACTCTCTTTATTCACAATTTCACCCATTTTTTTCAGAATTGTTTTCAATTTCGTCCTTATTTCATTTTTTCTCAATAATTTTAATAAAATAAAATTAAAATTAAAATTTTAATTATTTATATTTATATTTTATAAATAGAAAAATTATCCCAGGCCAAATTTCTAGGCTCGGGTGTTACACTAGTGGGAATGATCTTCCTTCTTGGCTGTGTCTTCTACTATCACTAGGACTGAAACCCAAATGCTTCTTGGACCATTCTTCCTTATCCGCATGTGATCTTCAAGTGGGAATAGATCTCTTCAAGTTTTCAAGAGAGAAAGTGGGATGAGGGATTTGGTTCCCTCATGGGGGAGAGGGGTCTCACACGGGTGGGACTCTCCCTTCCTTCCTTCTCTCAGCCACATGTGTGAATCAAGAGATTCACACATGGCCGCATGTGTGAAACATGCTCCGGCTCTCAAGGCTGAATGGGCCAAGTCTTGTTCTTTTGGGGTCAAGATAAAGCCTTTCTCTTTACCGCGGGAATCTTAAGCCCATCTTCTTGAACAATCTTGGGCCGGTCTTGATGTTGGGCTGGTGTAGGAAATAATTTTTGGCCGAATTTCAACTTCTTCTTGAAGTTGGAGTCGCGGGAATCCTTGCGGAAATAGGCCTCTCTCCCACGGGAAAAATCCCCCTTCCTGTGACCGCTGCCTCCTTCCTGCTGCGCAGGCGTGCGCGCGCGGGTGCCTTCCAGTGCCGGTGTGTGTGGGCTGCTTCCGCATGGGCGTGGGCATGCACGCGCGGGCTTCTTCCCGTGTGGGTTAGTGTCAACGGGTTTTCTCCCTCCTGCAGGTTGGCACTTGCTCTTGGAATGTGTCTTGTGTCTTTGGGAAAGGCTTCTCTCGGCTACCTTGGCTCACATCATAACCCCGTAGTCCCTTTTTGATAAACTGTATGTCACTTCAATTGCAGCCACAACTGTATAAAAAAATATATCTTCCCTATAAAAATGCAGGTTGACATTCCCCGTTACCTTTCCAACGAAATTTCCTGGAAATAAACAAACAAGTGGGTGGAGAAAAGAAAATTAGAGAAAGAAGAGGAGAAGATGAGAAGATTCAGGAAATAAGGGAATAGATGGAGAAGAAAAGAAAATTTGCAAAATAAAAGTAAGACCCTAAGCATTAATTTGGAAAAT